GGCCAGCACCCTGAACCACAAGCTTGTTTTATTTCACATCCTTAGCTGGATGTCAGGTCTGATCACTGTGCTACTGGGAAGCCTCAAGAGAAAACCACCTGGTAGAGGAAGCAAGTGAACGACAGTTCCTTCCATCAGAAGCACGGTTTGGTTTTAAGAAACCTGAACACTGTCTTTCAGAACTGAAACAATCAAATTTGTGAAAACAGCCCACAAAGAATCATTTCATCTTCTTCTCACAAGAGAAGAGGTTTGGTAAAGTGGAGGACAACAACTTCCCATTAACATCTGTGTTTTCAAAACTGAAAAATGATGGCTATAATATTAGAATTGTGTAATGCTGGATTTCAGTCCAGGTCAAAGTCCAACTCCAGTCACGATGATAACCTACTGATGCTAAAAGTCACCAGCTCCAACAGCAAGTGGCATTTCACTTACACAGAAAGAGGTATATGAATGGTAATGACACTGAATACTCTGGACTGGGTGGCAAAATGAGGTGACCACAACCCGAGAGGAGGCGGCCGGGCGGCGGCCGGCCCCGCTATGAGGTGGTGCGGGAGCTGGGCGCCGAGGAGGTGCGCTGGTTTTACCGGGAGGACCGGAAAACCTGGAAGCCCTTCATCGGTTACGACTCGCTACGGATCGAGTTGGCCTACCGCTCCCTCGGACCCGGTGAGCCCCGGGAGGGCGAGGCGGCGGCGGTGGAGCCGGTGTGTGTGCGGAGCGGGCTCTACGAGGTGGATGTGGTCAACGCCGAGAGCTACCCCGTCTACTGGAACCGTGAGTGCGGGGACCGGAGGGGAAAGGGGGGGGCCCTTCCCCTCCCGTGGGGACCGGGGGGTCCCGATGGCCTCGCACTGAGACCGTGGGGGGCACCCGGGGAGCGGCTGGGCTGCCCCTCGCCTCCCGCTCTCCCCGGTAAGAGACGGTGGGATCCCCCGAGTAGCCATTCCAGCGCACCCCCGTAGGGAACGGGGAGTCGGAGCACTCTCCGGCACACCAAGGGGCCAGGGCACCCCGCTTGCTGGCCTCAGGGATGAGGGGTACAGGAGAACCCCTCTCCCTGGAGAACGTCACCCAGCTTCGCACAGACCAGAGCGAGGAGGGACTGGGAATTTCTCCTCCAAGTCTCAGGGACACGGTGGGGATGGATGGACGGGGGACGCGGCGCTGGGCATCCCAACCCTCCCAGGCAAACTCAGAGGGGAAGCAGGGTGAGCATCCCTCAGCCCTCGAGAGAGGGGGGCACCCCCAAAAGGATGGGAGGCTCTGGGCACCCCTCGTCCCCATGCAGGGTCACGGGTGAGGGGTGTACTGGGCACCTCTTGAGCCCCTTCCAGCTGCAAAGGGAACTGGGAGTCTTGCCTCGCCCCGCTGTGCACATGCACCTGCAGGAGACGGGGATCCGAGCACAGAGACACGGGAAAGGGAGCTCTTGTTTCTTGACGTGTGTGGAAGAAATTGGGAGGGAAGGTGACTGAGAACCTTCTTGCTTATGCTTCCTTTTCCTGAAACAAAGGGTGAGTGAGTGAGGGTGGGTATGTGCCTTCAGCACTCCCTCCCCTCAAGATGCTCACCCTTCCTTCGGAAGGAGCAGGGTAGAAACAGCAATTTGTTGGTCCGCTGCCTCTGGGCTTCAGGCATGGTTCTGATCCCTCTGTAGTAAGGAATGATGGAAGAAAGGGCTCATGCCTGGCTTCCTGTCTGCAACCCTAGTCCTTTTCCCTTGGAAAATGATGGTATTGTGCTTCCTTATCACTTGTCTGCTGGGAAGGGGGCATGAAATGGGACTTTGCCTCCTTTCCTTTGGCGAGGATGCAACAGGCTCCTCAGATACACACACAGTCTTCCTTATTCTTCCAAGAGAGGGGAATTTGCTTCACCCTCTCAACTTCATTGCTCACTTTGTATCCCCAAGGACTTGCTTTCCAACTGCATTCCTTCAAGAACAAGGGCAATGTTACGGAGTAGAGTGAGAGGCGTGGAGTAGCTGAGCAATAGACACTGTCCTGGCATGGACTTTGGAGAGGGGCAGGCAGGTTTCTCGTCTCTCTGCGTATTTTTGAGACCCAGGTGGGAGTTACAGAAAAACAGCAGAACTCCTTCAGATATAAAACCGAGAGCTTTTGCTTGTTTCCCCTCTTCTTTATCAGCATCTTTACAGGAGGGAAATCCATAAATGACAATACCAGGTGGTACAATTCACTTGTAGTGTGACAATTTTGCCTTTCAAATCATTGCCCCAGCAGGCAGACAGTGAGCTTGAGGAGTGAGCAGAGATCTCGGTTCATGCATATTTTGAGTTAGAGGAGCCTGGGCACAGCTCCTTGAGCAGAAAGTGGAGGTGGCTGTTGCTGTCACCACCCTGAAGCCCCTGCATCTGCCACAGAGTTACTGGAAAGAGAAGATGCAGCTCATCCAAGGGATTAGGAAACGGCTGCCATCCCTCTTGTAACTGTGCCACGGGCAGAGACGGGGACAAACGAACAGAGCTGTCAGGTGAGGCAGTTAATGGGAGCAAGAGGCTGTACTCGTCAGCAGCTTAAAGGTTTAATTTCTTGACCCTGTGTCTTGTCCATTTTGGAAGCTGATGCAGGCTCATTAAGCCTGAGGAGCAGATGTTTCAAATGACAGCATACACTCTGCAGAGACGGTTTCTGATGCTTGAAGGAGATTCCCAGAGGTTAACACCAGAAGCTGTGCTAGGCAGGGGAGAAATAAACTCACGGTCCTGAGAAGGCTAACGGCAGGGATGCGTTTTAGTCCTCAGAAAGCTGATTAAGGAGAGCGCTCAAGTCTTTTCTTATTAGCAAGTCCACTCCTTCATAAGACTGAGATAAACTTCTGGTGTTTCAAGGCTCTGTCAGTGTCTTCTGGTCTCACTCCTTCACTTGCACATTTCCTTGCCTCAGTTCCCTGTGTACCTGCGCCTTTGCCTTCCTCCCATCCTTTCCTCCCAGCTGCTGCATCCAGACCCAAGAAAACAGCAAGATCAGATCCCAAGGATTCAGTCTCATCTGTGCTTTTGAAGGCCTAGGTGTAGCTGTTATTCCCAAATTATTCCCGTTTGATAATGTGCATATAATTTTGGACCCAAAGTCTAGCTACTACGTTAAGTTTGCCATAGTGTGGGAGGGAGCTGGTGGTGGCAAACAAAATCTCACACGAGCAAAGCTCATGAGTAAGGAAGGAGAATCTTGCTCTCTGATCCCACGAGCTTGAAGTTTAATGAGTACAACTGACTTAAATATTCTGAGGTACAGGTTAAAGAGTACAGAAACTGCTATCCAGTTTTGCTGATTCACAGTTTCAGTTCAGAGCAAAGGTCAAAAGCTTTTATCTTTGTTGTTCTAGCCCGTTTTGTTGTTCTGTTTCATGTATGTGCTGTATTTCGGGGAAGGCTGCTATCTCACAGCTACAACACTGAGCATGCTGACAGTTCTTCAGCTATTGTGGCATCTTAATGACAGGGGAATGTTGATTATAGCTTGGCGTGTGCTGGAATATCTTTTCACTCCACATCTTCAGACATCTTAAGCTCATCACAGGATTCGTTTGTAATATCAGAAGTATCAGACTGAGTTACCATTTGAGCAGATTAATTACTGAGAATTTTATCCTTACCTTGTGACCTCTGGGACTTATTTAATTAGTACTGTAGAACTAGCGAAGACAGCACAAGTGGATGAATAGTATTACTGTAGGCTTCCAGAGAAGTAAGTTGGAGTTGGGATGCTGCTTCTATTCTGTGGACATAACAACAAGAAATATCTTAGACGTGGATCTTCTGTTTGAATCTTCTTAGGTTATACAGCCCTTTTCTGCCCTCCCAGTGGGAGGGCTGTTTTACAACCATTTTTCTATAGATATTCCTCAGCCTAGTTTTCAAAGTCCTGGATGAGTCTGTAAAATGTACAGCCTGGGGACTACTGGGTGACTCTCCTGTTCCTTGGCTTGTGAGTTTGTCCAGTGTGACTGTTGCCCTATCTAGTATTTGATTTTCTCTTGCTTTTTGATGGTTATATTGTCAAGTTGCCTGTATTTAGTTCTTGCAGTGTTTTCTTATAACACTTTTCCACATAGTTGTCTTCGTCCCAGCATGTTCTCCAGTTTCAATTCTGACTGTGTTTGTGGGACACTCATCACCTTGGGTGATGTCTTGCAACGGTAGTTTTTAAAATGGAAGTAGGGCTTTTGTAAAATTCGGTGGCATGTCGAGACAGAAGCAACAACAAAAATGTGTATTTCTACAGCCATTTGGGGAGTCCGTGGAGCATTGTCTTTTAGGGAAGTGTAAAATATCCTACTCCTGCCCACAGATGTGGTAAGGACTTTTTTGATTTGTTTTCTTTTTAACATGTATGTTTTTGTACCTCGTAGTAGTCTGTTAGGTAAAAAACCTCTTGTATTAAAAAAAAAATTGTTCCCTAGGACTGTCTTTGAGTGAAGATGTAACAATAGCTTCTGCTGTACTAATATAACAGATACTTTTGTGACCTTAGCCTGGGAATACCTGTGAGTACAGAGTGAATCACGGAGTCTTAATTTTAAAAATTGTATGCTCAGGCTGGAATTGGGCAGCTTTTAAAATCTTTTTAAATCTTTTTCAGCCGCCTTTAAGCTGGGACTGAAAGAAGTATCCAAGACCCTATATTTTCTTTTGTAAGCCCTCTGAGGTGCTTTGTAAACTGGAAGAAGAGGCAGCCATGAGCACTTGGCGAAAAGCCTTTGCAGGTTGAGCTTTTGTGAAATGAGACCTGAATGCCAGGGCAGAGTATCTGCCCTCTGAATTTAGAGCTGGTCAAGATTATTGAGAAGTCTTGGAGTATGGTAGTTGATGCTTGGCACCAGATGGTTACATAAGGCTATTTTTTTAGTGGATTTTTTTTTTCATCATGTGCTTATTTTGGTGTAGCAGGTAGACGTTAGCAGTAAGATACAAAGCCTTTTGTACCTCAGCCACTGGTGGTTCTTTGGGCTGCACCATCAAGAGGAAAAATCAACATTTCAGAGCAGGAAGGTTCTTCTCTGCAGACTGCTTTGTGTGGGAGTGTTGAGTGCTTGTGCCTTCCCTAGAGCTGGCAGCATAAATTTGTATGTTGACACTGGCAACTTTAAACCTGAGGCCTCACTAGACCTCTTGCCTGGCTGCTTGTATCAGTGACGGATATTTCTTCTGAGACTGCATCTTTAGTTTATGGGTTTTGTTTTGCATTCTGAAACAAAAATAGTATGAAAATAGATTCATGAGGCAAGATGAAAAGGAAGGGTTTGGACTCAAGAGTTTATCAGTATGTTTGTGGCTTGCATCTGTTTCAGTCTGTTCTCGGCAGCAGAACACGGTTTTAGTTGCTTTACAGCGTACTTAGAACATTGCTTTTGGTGTGTTGGACAGTCTTTGAACTTGGTTGATAGAATTTCCTCTATGAAAAAGACCTTTTGATCAAAGGCTGAATTCCTGAATACTGTTTTCTTGCTTTTCTCTCTGAGTATGTTAATTATTTATAAATAAAATACTGATAGTTTACATGGCGAGGTAAAGTGATAACTTTTGCTACTCAAAATATTTCCTGGGTTTTACTTTTTTTCCTTCTGTTCTTACCATACCACCACCCTTCCAAAAGTGTTTTATAGCTTAGTTTTGGCCAGCTCCTTGCTGACCAGAAAGCCTAATACACATAGATAAACAATTTTTAGATTTGCAGTGCTCTGTATATTAAATCACAAATTACATTTGTACGTATGTTCTGTTTATGTTCTCCAGTTACCTTTCCTTCTTT